TTTGTTTAATAGGTGGTAGGTTAATATCTATAGCGATATAACTCATATCTTAATATTAATTATGTAACAAGTTAAACCTTTGCTTTATTAATAAAGATCATAAGTAATACCTCACTTTAACATCAAAAAAAAAATAATAACAAAAGATATATACATATATATATTTGTTACATATTATATATTTTTATAATAACTTGATTTAAATTTAATATATAATATATAATATATAATGTTTAATAAATAAAAACATATTCATTGTATTATATTTTCAGTTATAATATAAAAATAAAAAAATTTATATTATATTGTTTTTTGTTATTAAAAATAAGATGTCTAATAAATAAAATACAATATATGATATAAATTATATATTTTAAAAAATTTTTTTTATATTAGATTTTTGTTTTAAAAAAAAATTATAAATTTTTATATACATAAAACAAATGATTTTTTATATTGTAATAAAAAATATATAATTTTTTTTTAAATAAATAACTATTTTTAATTAATTAATTATATTATATTATATATTATGTTTCTTAAAAAAAAACAAATAAGTTAAATATTAATTTATCTATAATTATTATTTGACTAATATTAAAAAAAATTTTTTTAACAATACAAGAGACTAAATAATATCAAATAATTATGAATATCTACTTGAAATTAAAAAATACAAAATTATGAAAATTTAAAAAAATATATTGTACATATGTGATTTTATTTTTTAAACATAAAAAATGTTTTTATATTAATTTTTTATATTAGAAAAAATCAATAATATTTTATATTTAAAAATAATATTAATAATTTTAAAAAAAAATTTTTAATTTTTTTTGATTTTAAACAAGTTATTTATAAAATAAAAATAACTTTTACTGTATGACAAATAAAAATTATCACGTTTTTTTTAATTTACATTAAATTTAAGATTTAAAAATATTTTAAATACAGATTTTCTTTAAATTTTCATAATAAATATTAAATAATTTTTTTAAGATACATTTTCACCTGTATTTACGTTCACTTATAAAATGCAAAAAAAAAATATTTTTTTTACAATAGAGTATTACGACTTATCAAAAGGGGAAGATTTTTAGATAAACTTAATCATAAGTTGAGTTACAGATATTTATCTCTCACTACGTGAAAATTTCTAATAGAAAGCATTATTATAAGAAACGTGATCTCATTGAACCAAGATTTTTCTCACACCCTTTCGATTCTGACGCATTGAGCGATGGCAAAATAGAGAGTTAAATTAAATACATTTTTTCAATAATAATAGATCCGCCAATATATTACATGATATAATTCTAGAATCCCAAAATTACTTTCATATCAATATACCAATATCCTTATGTACTTAAAGATTATACTTAAATGTTAACCTAATGAAAATTTTATAATTATTATTACCGTATACACTTTCCCTAAGACAGAATGTGAATTACTTAACCAATGTCATTAAACGTCAAAGTATAATTATATTCATTTTTTCAAATAGATCATTCCACCGCCCATTAACAAATAGCATCCAATGCTTTTTGAAATGCTTTCAATAGGATGTCAATGTCTTCTAATCCAATACTAACCCTTACAAGTCCAGGTTCAACCCCATAACTCAATGCCCAGTCCAATTCGAGATAATGTGCTAGAATAGTGTACGGACATGCCAAAGTGACATTTGTCCCCAACGATGGACCCTTTGCAACTGGCAACGCATCAAAAAATTGCTGCGATGAAAGATATGAGTGAAATGATATTGAAAACAATCCACCGTAGCCTCCTTCCGGTGCTTTGTACTGAAGGTATATTTCCGGATCTATATATTTCGGGAAATACACTTTCTTCACTGTTAAATCGAGTATACAAAATTAGTAATCATTATGACGAATATTATAGCAAATGTGAGTATAGTGACCTTTTGGACTTCGACTGAGAAAATCGCATATTTTCACGGTATTTTCATTGATCCTGTGGATACGTTCGCGGAATGATCTTGAATTACGTTCAAGAACTATTGCATCTTCCCTCCACATCAAATCCTCATATTCTATTTCAATAAATTTCTTTAGTATATCGTAGTGACGCCGTTGAGGATTAAGAACCAAACTTGAAATTCAGGTACACAAGATGTTCAGTGATACACAAACTTTCTCAAAGGAAACAATATTAATGTCAAATTTCTTACCCTCCTCCCATGACATTAACTTCACCACTGAATATTTTTGTCAGACTGGATACCATGATATCAGCCCATTCGAATACTCTTACGTTAACAAAATTACCAATCGTCTCATCAACTACAATCAGAAAGTTGTATTTATCAGCCAACTTTCTGAGACGTTTTAGATCTGGTGATCTACAAAGTGGATTTGATGGAAATTCGCAGAATAGAGCCAAGACCTGTTCGCCGGATTCTAAAAGCCGTTCAATGGAGTCGATCTCTTCGGATGAACCGTTACCATAGGAATGGCATCCTGGTCCGAAATTCTGCAAGATTTTTAAAGTATCGACATATGGAAAGCTATATTCCATAAACAAATTTACGAATTAATTAATTTATCTTTTAACGAATGTTAGTGATATATATATTAACGGTGAATTACAATTAACCTACCCAAAACAAATACTTTTCTTGGGTGGAAAAGCCGCTA